CCCCAAAACCCCAAAACCCCGAGGTTTGACAATCGTGATTCATTTGAGATTTTATAAATATTTATAATTACTACATTTGCCAAAATTTAAATGCTAATGACAGTGGTATGTTATACTTTGAAATACTTCTATTTATTTGATCAGCGCTTGACTGTTGAACCCTATCCCTCATCAATAAGTAACTTTTACATCATAGTTTTAAATTCAAGGAAGGAGATCTCACCGTCACCATTAGCATCTACTTCAGTTATAATTTCGTTCCAGACTTTTTCGTCTATATTTTTTCCGACTCCAAGAACTTCCTTTATTTCATTAGCAGAGATACTGCCACCTCCGTCTTTGTCGAACAAATTGAACGCAGCCTCCAATTTTTCATTAGTAAGAAGCTTTCTTTTATCCATAGTGGCTACAACCCACTCTGAATAATCGATTTCTCCGCTTCCATCAGCATCTGCAATTTTCATTATTCTGTCAACTTCCTCTTCAGCCAAGTCGCCCAGAATATGTGTATAACCCTCAATCAGTTCATCTCTTGAAAGTTTACCATCTGAGTTCTTATCAAGTGCTTTGAAAGCTCTTTATAACTCTGCCATCTCTTCCTTTGAGGCTAGCTGACTGACAATAAATGTAATGGCAGCTTACTGCATTTTTTATTCAGCCTATAATATTATTAATTTTAATTAATGTTCATTACTCTAAAAGTTCTGAGATTTTGGAGAGCTGATAAGGTAGCCTTAGGGTCCGAGGGTTCTAGCACCTTCTTCTTAATCCAAGGATGATTAATGGCTTATTCAGCCGTTATTCTCCCAGTGATATCATAAGTAAGCATTTTCTTGATTAAATCTTTGGCCTCTGGTGTAATGCTTTTCCATTCTGGGCCACTCATTGAATATGTGCCTATTCTTACGCTATTTACAATCTCTTTGTCATCATTTCCATCGAAGGGAGGCTTTCCACTTAACAATATGTATAGAATAACACCGATGCTCCACAAATCGCATTTTTCGTTATATTCACCCTTAAGCACTTCTGGGGCGATATAATAGGCCGTTCCAAAAATTTAGTTCATCTTCTTATTTGGGTCGAACTTCTAGCTTGTTCCAAAGTCAATGACTTTTATAGCGTTATTTTATTTCGTGTCCATGAGAATGTTTTCAGGTTTTAAGTCTCTATGTACAATATTTTTATAATGACAGTATTGAACTGCAGACAGTACTTGCTTTACAATGACTGCTGCATCTTACTCGCTAAAATAGGTTCTGTTTGTTATTTCATCGAAGAGTTCTCCTCCTGTGCAAAGCTCGGTCACCAGATAATATCTCTTATCATCCTAGAAGACTTCATAAAGTCTTACTATATTTGGATGATCTAATTATCTCAATATTTCGATTTCCTGAAAAAATCTCGCTTTTTCTTTAGCATCTAAAGAATCTTTCCTAATAATCTTGACTGCTCTAATTGCCCCAGTTTTTCTATTTGAGCATTTCCTCACTTCACCAAAAGCACCTTTATTGACAGTTAATGGATAAATAATTATTTACCTGTTCCTAGTGCAGTTCCAATTGAATAATAATCTCTGAAACGACCTTTATTTTCTGAAATGAAATCACTTTAAGAGACCTTGAAATCAGACAGCTTTTGAACCTACTTTCCATCCGTCTTGTGTTCCCCCTAGAATTTAGTTATATTCTTTTCCAAAAACAATGGTCATACGTTTTTACTGCTCTTAAGAGCTTGTTCATCAACAGGAGTGGTTTTACCAGAGCAAATACCCATTTTATTATGGAAATATAAAAAAATAAACAATAATTGAATTTATCTATAGTTAATTACTTTAAATTTTAATTCGAAGACGATTTTAAAGAGTGGGGTTTTGGGGTTTTGGGGAGATCGGAAGAGCGTCGTG